ATGTTCAAAAAACGTTTAGTTTTAGTCTGTTCAATAAATGTTTATCCTGTTCGGCCCCGACCTAAAGTGTGCTTTGGGTTTTGGCCCCCTGTGCCATTGAGTTTAACACCCCTGGCCTAAGAGGTCTAAAATTAAAGTTAAGCGTAATGTTAGGGACACCTTTTGGAGACTGGAGCTGCTGAATTGTAAACATAAGAAATTTTTCTAATTCCTTAACTCTTCAGTGTAATTATGCAAGATGTTTGGCATTGTGCAAATGAATCCTTGTGTGGCTGTTTTCCAGGTGACAAGCAGAGCTCTGCAGAACTGCAAGGGCATGAGCAGATATGCAGTAGAAAAGGCAACTTCTTACAGAATTAAGACTTCCTGAAATACAGTATGTGCTCAAAAGTGATTTGGTTTTTCCTTGACTCCAGACAATGCCTGAATACTTCCTTATAAAACTAGTCAGTCAGTCCAAACTTCCGGTCGAGGTTGTCAGTCTGACATCTAGTTGTCTGCAGCAGATACTCTTGAATTTGAGAGCTGATTGGTTGAGATGTGGGATCAACAACACAACCTTTTATAGAAATGAATAATTTCTTGTATAGTTGCTGCATTTGTTAGTTTCTTTGTTGGTCTTTGCACTATGAAGGTTTGTTATGTTAACAGAATGAAAGTGTGGATGATGGTGACATTTATCAGTCAGAGGAGCTGAACACAGTCAACGTACAGTATATTACTTATAGTTCCCGTAGGCGGCACAGTCTGTGACAGTCCTGCTCTACAATGTGAACTGATTTAATACCTGAAGTATTAATTAAGAGACACAAAAGCCTTTGGTGAGCAGGATGTGAAGAATCTTTCAGTGACATCTGTGCAGAGGTGACGCAGACTAAATATCTGACAGATCAACAATGGCTGTGAATGTATTGATGCAGTTTCATATTGAGCCTGGTCAGCTCAGATACAGCAGCAAACTGATCTGATGATGCTTTATATGGGAAACGCTGCCCAGGTACATGTTCACACACCAAATTTAAGTAACAGTATGGAGATCAACATGTTCTCACTCTCCTTATCGTATAGAAGGATGCCATTAAACCATTAAATGAGCCATTAAATAGACTAAGTTGAAAGAAATTATGCAAGAAGGTTGTCATTGTTAAACAAATGTAGTTTTCATAGTGTCTTTGTTCATAGATGAGAAGATGATTTCGATATAATTTTTAAGTCCTTCATAGAAATAAAAAAAAAAACCATGGGCGCAGTTCATCTTGAACGAGCCTTTAGTGTAGCTGTTTGTTCTGTATCGCGACAGCTGATCCAAATCTCGGATGACCAAAACGTGTCACGCAGGCCCCCTGTCTATCGCCTCCCTTTGCGATGTTCTTGCACATGCGCATTGTACCCCGATCGGAGAGACCGATAGATGAGAGTCGAGTGTCGGTATTGTGTAGCAACCATAGGGAAGAAAACGGGAATAAAACACGCAACATCAACAGGATCCAGCCACCGGAAATCCACCGAGTCCCGCTGTACATTTGCCGGGGAAAGAGCCCGGGAGGAAAGCGCTGGCGAGAGCTGGTCCGTAGACCCGGAGCCTGCCTGTCTGTGCGCCTGCAGACGGAAAGACAAAGCGGGATGAAGAATCTGCCAGTGCCGCTTTCAAAAGGCGTTTAAGCACAGAGTCACGGTGCTGGATTCACCGTTGTGGCTTAAAATGAGCCTTTATCACACGGCGTTCTGTGTAGAGAGTGTGTTTAACGAGCAGAGCATTTCAGGTCTGAAGGCGGTGTAAAGGTCCAGATGTTGGCCTGGTGGTGATGTTCCACGTCCTGACAGACAGCCCTGTCCTGAGTTCCCATCACTGTTTGTCGTAGGTGGACCTGACAGTCTGAACCCAGGGTTCGCTGTTTCTAGGACAACTCAAGGAAACATGCCGAGACATAAATAAAACAGCTGGAAGACATAAAGAAGACATTGGGATTTGAAGTGGGAGACACACTTTGAGGACAAAGACATGCTTTAAGCACATAAACTGATTGTAGAAATCAAAATATTGAGACCTGAGATTGAAATATTGGAGGGCAAAGAAATGTAAAGACATTTTAGGACAAAAGGAGATATAAAGGAAACATTTCGGTGACAAAGATAAAAAGAAGAATTCAGGGACAAAACGGGACATTGTAAGGTAAAGAAACTGAAGAGCATTAAAACATAAATAAGAAACTTGGTGGACTTAAAGAAATAAGCCACAAAGAGGTACAGAAAAGACACAAACCTAACGATAACCAAAAGCAATTCCTGGGTTTAATGACACCACCTGTGCTGCCAGACAAGTGTTTAAAAGCTGAACATAAGTGGAAGAAAGACAAATTTTGAGCATCTTCTGAGAGATTCCTGGCATAACTATCAAAGTATCATTACAGCTGAGAAGATGAAATACTTTTCTGAAATTATTGTGAAAAATTGCCATAAGCCTGGAGTTGTGGTTAGTTCAGTAAATTGTTAGAAATTAACCCAATTCTTTTGTTGGAAGCACGAGAAGTGACGACAGGAGAGGACTGTTTAAAATCAGCAGAAAGTTTACTGAATGTCTGATCACAGGTAGGCCTTACAGTGCTGTGCTGGGATCAGAGAGACAGAGCTCCAGCAGGAGTTCCATCCACTGACCCCAAATTAAGGTCTTACCATACATTTTATCTTTTTGGGCTGCTCTGCACTAAACAAAGGTACAACAATTCATGCATTGTAATCCTATTGGTCATTTGGTGTGAGCAGGAGATCACACCTCCTTACTGGAATGTGATCTACACCAGGTGTCTGTGTGTGTGTGATGCTAATTTGTATGTTAAACTGGCCAGGTGGTCATCTCAGGATGTGGGCCCCCGGCCTCTGCAGGACATCCCAAGATAAAGCAGAACTTGGAATATGCTAAGTGGGTCTAGGTGTGGGTGCAAAACAAACCAACTTGTCTTTGTTAAAATGTGAATTGGCTGTCTGGTCATAAAGAGATGCAGACATCTAGTCTCTACACAGAAGTTACAACATTCAAAGTAAGCAGATTCTGCTTCATTACAGCTGTAAGATATATAAGCAAGGGAAACAAATGCATTAAAATAACCAAAGCTCAGTAGTTCTGGACAATCATCAATACAGCTGTAATATGCATAAACAAGTAAGATAAAGTTATGAAAGGTAACTAAAGGGAACTAAAGGTATGAGAAGTAACTAAAGCTTATAAAGTAACTAGAGTCTATAAGACTCAAATCTTACAAAATGATGCTCTAAATCTTACTCAGCCTCATTACTGATACTACTCCTGATTCCTGTGAGAGGTTTCTCAGGGTTTTTTTTGTCACTGACGTTGCTTTATATTGGAGCACAAATCACACCTTTCTTTGATTTACCCTCTAGTGTTGCCTGCCCTGCTGCTGTACACAAGTTGAGCCTATTTCTCCCTCTCCTTTGAATGAAATGATCAGTTGAATGAAATCTTATCTGTGCTATTCACGTTGTACCTCCTTGTTTCCGCAAAGATGGTTTTGATATTTTAGGGTCATCTATTCCAATTAATTTAAATAGGAGCTTGGCATCTGGGTTGATCCTTTGGCTTCTAAACTGCTGTTTAAAAAGCCTAATTTGGACACCTCTGCTCTTTCTAACTATAGACCCATTTTGAAACTTCCATTTTTATCAAAACTCTTGGAAAAAGCTGTATTTGTCCAACTCCAGCCTTTGTTAGACAAGCTGAGATATTCCAGTCTGGAATATCAATCTTTTGGAATACCCCTCAGCACTGAGTTGGCTCTTCTTAAGGTTTCTAAGGACTTGTTGCTGACTGATTCAGGAGATTATTCTGCCTTAATACTTTTAGATCTTTCTGCAACCTTTGATACAGTGGATGATAAAACCCTTATTTTCCACCTTGAACACTCTGTAGGTATTTCAAGCACTGCATTAAAATGGTTTAGAGCTGTCTGCCTGGTAGACGCTTTTCTGTTAACCTTGGCAACTCTGTATCCTCTGCTGTACCACTGTTGTTCAGCGTCCCCCTAGGTTCCATCCTTGGATCAACTTCATTTTTGCCTTATATTCAACCATTAGGATCCGCTTATAGGAAAGATGTTTTACTGATGATATTCCAAATTTACTTCCCCTTGAAAGTGAATGGATTAAACTGTTTTAACCATTGATGGACTGCTTGGAGTATGTTAGTGTTGGGCAGCGTCTTAAGTTTTTAAATTTGAATGAAAATAACATTGAGATCATAATTTTGTGGTCCTGATGGTAACAGTGAGCCTTGTACACATGATTTAGGTGACATGGAACCATTTGTAAAATTGTCAGTAAAGAACCTGAGCATCATAATGGGTAGCAAATTTAAAACGGATAAACAAATACATTCTGTGGTCAGAGTGAGATTTCTCTAACAGGCTTTTATCAAGGGTTATACATTTCCTATTTAGACATGATCTTGAAAAAGGTCATTCATGCTTTCATTTCAAATTGTTTGGACTACTCTTGCTTTTTACATTGTGGTCTGCCAGGCTTTGCTAAACCGCCTCCAACTTGTTCAGAACACTGTTGCTCATTTTTTGACCAGCACTTGTCAAAGGGAACATATTATACCTGTGTTGCCATCTCTCCACTGGTTACTTGTTTGTTTCGGAATCCACTTTAAAATCTTGTCGATGGCTTTTAAAGCTCTTAATGGTTTAGCTCCGCTATATCTCTCTGACCTTTTTAAAGCTCACAGTCCCTCCAGAGCCCCTAGATCTATTGATCACTTGCTTCTGGCTGTCCCTTTTAGTAGACTTACTAAAAGTCTTCAACCTTCTGGTTGGTAGAGCAGTCATCTCCCAACCAGAAGGTTGAAGGTTCAAATCTCAGTGCCGGCAGTTCACCTGTCGAAGTGTCCTTGGGCAAGACACTGAACCCCCCCGTTGCCCCCGATGGTTAGAGCCATTGGTTGAGGTGACGCCGCAGATGGCTGCCATAGATTCTGTACTGGAAACATATTCCTTGTGTGTAACATACTTGGCCAATAAAGGTGATTATCCTTATCCTTAAAAGTAGAGGTGATCATGCATTTGCAGTCACAGCCCCAGAGCTCTGGAATGAGCTGCCTCTACACATCAGATTGGCCCCATCTGTATTTTGACTTAAAACATTTTACTATGCTAAGGCATTTGACTCAGTTTGACTGTTGTATTCATTCATTTGTTTTTAATTCTTTCTTTTTATGGTTCCTAATATTTACTTTGTGACCCAGTTTTGGACAGCTGCAAAGTTTTAATTTTGTATATAAATAAACTGGCCTTGACACAATAAAGGTAACTGGAGAACACTGGAAACATGAAAAAGTCATTCAGTGGAAAATAACACCTGTGGCCATAAAGATGTCTTTCCAAAGACATAAGCTGACTTTAACAACAAAGAAACATTTAGATGTCTTCAGACCATAAAAACATTTATGGAAGACTTTGAAGGACATACAATATCATGTGGACATAAAGGGATAAGATGTGAAGACTTCCTTTTGACAGTAAAAATGACTTTGAAGGCAGTGAAATAGTGAAACAAACATGCTGAGACACACATATAGAGACACACAGGAGTCAGGTGGAGGACAGATGAGAGACAGAGACGTCCTTCTGAGGACATCATATTAAACACAGATTTATGAGGACAGAGAGACATGGAGGAAAACATTCAGGGTTAGGGCAATGACCATCCTCAGGAGGACCTGATGTGGGTGTTGTTGGACTTCTTTGGTCTCAAGTTTTTTTTATTTCTTGACAGTTTGGATGTAACAAGGACTGAGAGGACGACATGATGTCCCCAAGGTGGAATTGTTTCCGAGGCCCATCTGTCCTGGTCCTGGTCCTCACTGGCTCTGTGTTGGCAGCCCGCTCTGACAGGAACTCGGTGTCGGAGGAGTATGTCGGTGCCACAGTGAACGCCACAGTGCTGGATGGGCGAGGAAACATTGTCCACATGATGAGCAGCAACGACGGGACGTACGGACAGAACTCACCAAAGGTGGACACAAGGGGCGTCGTCATCGTACCTGCTCCACATCACGGAGGTGAGGAGGACACACAACTGAGGTCACAACAAATGTGAGGTTACACAGCACAGATATGAGGCCACACAACACACGCCATTGACTTTATATAAAAAAATGGACAAACCTTCCGTGATGTCACCCACTGGTTTTCTAAAAAGTGGTTCTGAAGCTCAGGTATGGCCGTCACCACCTTGGTGGTGCTTTACTCCGCCTAACTCTGACTAATCCAAAAAAGGGCAAAGAGGTAGTGCATGAGTGGAGCTCGCTCAGAGTTTGCCACTTAGGTCTTTAAAGTGATGCCACTGTGATGTCATCTTATTTTTTTTAGTGTTCTGACAAACCAAAACTATTTCCTGCGACCCAACTGATCGTGTTCACCTTTGCTTGGCCCAGGAGTTCAAAACATGTAAGCCCTGTCCAAGTGGATCAAAGTTGGAGTTTGGGGAGTTCAAAACTAAAAAACAGGATTGGGATAACTTTGATGTTCGAGTGGATCAGGAAGTCAAGTCCGAGCTTTAATCTGGATCAAATCCTCAAAATGTAGTTCAAAACAGGGATCAGTTTGATCTAAAAGATCTGGGTTACCTTGATCCAAACAGGGCGGTGGATTACTGGAGCAAAATGTGCTGAACATTTAATTTAAAAATATGTTCAAAGTAAATAAGGTGGTAAAGTTCCAAAACTGAAATGAAATTTGCAGTATATGATTGAGACGTTTATTTTTGCCACATGTGCAGCAGCCTCTTGCACACCTCTCTGAACAGTGTGTTCAACCAACTAATGAGTTTCTCATCTCTAAACCGATCCCAACAGAAATTATGTTGATCACAAATGTAACATTAAATAAACAAAAAATATCTTCAACAAAAAGGCCCAAGTCCGTCTTATGTGATCAACCTTCAGAAGCACCTGTGGACAGTAGCATCTCGCACCGCATGACCACGCCGCCTCATTTAGAAGAAACCTGGCTCATCAGCGGGATGCTTTCACTATTTTATTATTGCAATTCCGTCACGATTTTAAGCAAGTGTTGTGTACTTGGAAAATATCATTTCTTATCATGGCTCTGAATTGCTGTCTGTCTTAGATTGTTCTTCATATCCAGTAGGTGGAGGTGGGCTGGATTAAAACAATGATATTCAGCATCTGGCATTCTTGAACAGTCTGAACTTAGATCAGGGTGATCATATCCTGAATTGTTTTGAAATCCCGGGACAAAATCTGTCTGAGATGTCTGATACAAGATCACAACATGTTGGGTTTCCAAATCTGATCAGATGTCACTGAGATGATGTTTGCAACCCCCTCTGGGCACAGGACAACAGAGAGGGGACACCCATGTATTAATATCAATAACAGTGCATGTACATTTTATTTATATACAGTGCCTTGCGAAAGTATTCGGCCCCCTTGAACTTTGCGACCTTTTGCCACATTTCAGGCTTCAAACATAAAGATATAAAACTGTATTTTTTTGTGAAGAATCAACAACAAGTGGGACACAATCATGAAGTGGAACGAAATTTATTGGATATTTCAAACTTTTTTAACAAATAAAAAACTGAAAAATTGGGCGTGCAAAATTATTCAGCCCCCTTAAGTTAATACTTTGTAGCGCCACCTTTTGCTGCGATTACAGCTGTAAGTCGCTTGGGGTATGTCTCTATCAGTTTTGCACATCAAGAGACTGAAATTTTTGCCCATTCCTCCTTGCAAAACAGCTCAAGCTCAGTGAGGTTGGATGGAGAGCATTTGTGAACAGCAGTTTTCAGTTCTTTCCACAGATTCTCAATTGGATTCAGGTCTGGACTTTGACTTGGCCATTCTAACACCTGGATATGTTTATTTGTGAACCATTCCATTGTAGATTTTGCTTTATGTTTTGGATCATTGTCTTGTTGGAAGACAAATCGCAGTCCCAGTCTCAGGTCTTTTGCAGACTCCATCAGGTTTCCTTCCAGAATGGTCCTGTATTTGGCTCCATCCATCTTCCCATCAAGTTTAACCATCTTCCCTGTCCCTGCTGAAGAAAAGCAGGCCCAAACCATGATGCTGCCACCACCATGTTTGACAGTGGGCATGGTGTGTTCAGGGTGATGAGCTGTGTTGCTTTTACGCCAAACATAACGTTTTGCATTGTTGCCAAAAAGTTCGATTTTGGTTTCATCTGACCAGAGCACCTTCTTCCACATGTTTGGTGTGTCTCCCAGGTGGCTTGTGGCAAACTTTAAACAACACTTTTTATGGATATCTTTAAGAAATGGCTTTCTTCTTGCCACTCTTCCATAAAGGCCAGATTTGTGCAGTATACGACTGATTGTTGTCCTATGGACAGAGTCTCCCACCTCAGCTGTAGATCTCTGCAGTTCATCCAGAGTGATCATGGGCCTCTTGGCTGCATCTCTGATCAGTCTTCTCCTTGTATGAGCTGAAAGTTTAGAGGGACGGCCAGGTCTTGGTAGATTTGCAGTGGTCTGATACTCCTTCCATTTCAATATTATCACTTGCACAGTGCTCCTTGGGATGTTTAAAGCTTGGGAAATCTTTTTGTATCCAAATCCGGCTTTAAACTTCTCCACAACAGTATCTCGGACCTGCCTGGTGTGTTCCTTGTTCTTCATGATGCTCTCTGCACTTTAAACGGACCTCTGAGACTATCACAGTGCAGGTGCATTTATACGGAGACTTGATTACACACAGGTGGATTCTATTTATCATCATTAGTCATTTAGGTCAACATTGGATCATTCAGAGATCCTCACTGAACTTCTGGAGAGAGTTTGCTGCACTGAAAGTAAAGGGGCTGAATAATTTTGCACGCCCAATTATTCAGTTTTTTATTTGTTAAAAAAGTTTGAAATATCCAATAAATTTCGTTCCACTTCATGATTGTGTCCCACTTGTTGTTGATTCTTCACAAAAAATTACAGTTTTATATCTTTATGTTTGAAGCCTGAAATGTGGCAAAAGGTCGCAAAGTTCAAGGGGGCCGAATACTTTCGCAAGGCACTGTAAATACCTGGATGCAATCAAATTTCCTTCAGTTACAGACAAGACTGAAGTTATTGCTTTTGGTAGCAAGAACGAAAGGACCGAAGTTATTGATCAGCTTGATTGTAGAACTATGAAGACAAAAACTCAAGTTACAAATCTTGGTGTCATAATTGACTCAGACCTGAACTTCACCAGTCACATCAAGGCCACAACTAAATCAGCTTTTCATCATCTCGAACAAATAGTACAACTCTGAGGTCTCATGTCCTGAGAAACTCACTGATGCTATCGTCTCCAACAGGCTGGACTGTTGTAATGGTCTTTTGTCTAGCCTTCCCCAAAAGACTGTTAGACAACTTCAGCTCGTTCAGAGAGTTTGAACCAGAACCAGGAGAATTGAGCAAATCACTCCTGTTCTTAAATCTTTACACTGGCTCCCAGTTACCTACAGAATCCAAACCCAGCAGGGCCCTGACATCCTTAGTAAGCAGTGATCTGGTTTTAATGCTTATAATATTTAATGCTGTTACTGTTTTTCTTTGCCTATGTGAAGCACTTTGAATTGCCTCTGGTTAGGAGCCCTCTTCTTCTGTTTGTCCACCACTACTATGTCCGGTTGGTTGGCCATTAGCAGTTTGTCAGTTTGTATCTGGAAGTCCCACAGGATCTTAGCTTGGTCATTCTCAACCACCTTTGGAGGTGTATCCCATTCAGACTTTGGGACTTCCAGCCTGTACTCGGCACAGATGTTTCTGTACGCTATGCCAGCCACTTGGTTATGGCATTCCATGTATGCCCTGCCTGCTAGCATCTTGCACCCCGCTGTTATGTGCTGGATTGTCTCAGGGGCATCTTTGCACAGCCTGCACCTGGGGTCCTGTCTGGTATGGTAGACCCCTGCCTTTATTGGTCTTGTACTTAGTGCTTGTTCAAGTGCTGCCAGGATTAGTGCCTCTGTGCTGTCTTTTAACAGGTCTTTGTCTAGCCACTGGTAGGATTTTTCGATATCAGCCACTTCTACTATTTGTCGGTGGTACATACCGTGCACAGGTTTGTCCTTCCATGAGGGTTCCTGCTCTTCCTTCCCTAGTTCCTCTGGTTTCTGCTGCTTGAGGTGTTCACTAAGCATGTCATCACTCGGGGCCATCTTCCTGATGTATTCATGGATTTTTGTTGTTTCATCCTGGAGAGTGGCTCTGACACTCACTAATTCTCTGCCTCCTTCCTTCCGCTTAGTGTACAGTCTCAGGATGCTGGATTTGGGGTGAAACCCACCGTGCATTGTAAGGAGCTTCCTTGTCTTGATGTCAGTGGCCTCTATCTCCTCCTTTGGCCAGCTTATTATGCCAGCGGAGGGCGTAGCTGTTAATCGCCCAGACTTTGTTCTTTCCATTCAGCTGACTTCTCAGGACTTGCCTTACTCTCTGCAGGTACTTGGTAGTTGCTGCTTTCCTTGTGGCCTCTTTATGGTTCCCATTTGCCTGCGGGATCCCAAGGTACTTGTAGCTGTCCTCACCATCTGCTATGTTGCCTTCTGGTAGTACAATCCCCTCAGTTCTGACTACCTTCTTTCTCCTCATTACCATTAGGCCACACATATCCAGTCCGAATGACATTCTGATGTCCTGGCTGTAGATCCTAGTGGTGTGGATCAGTAAGTCGATATCTCGTTCACTCCTGGCATACAGCTTGATGTCATCCATGTAGAGGAGGTGGCTGATGGTTGCGGGGACAGAGCATCTCCTTGGTAGATACCGCACTTGATGTTGACTTGTGCAATTGGCTTGAAATTGGGCTCTAGGGTTGTTTTCCACATTCCCATTGAGTTCTTGATGAAGTTCCAAGCATTCCAGGATCCATGTGAGGCATTGAGTCATAGGCTTTCTTGTAGTCAATCCAGGCAGTGCACAGGTTGGTGTGCCTAGTCTTGCAGTCTCGAGTGACTACTTTGTCAACCAGTAGCTGGTGCTTTGCTCCTCTGGTGTTACTACCAATTCCTTTCTGGGCGCTGCTCATGTATTGAG